GGGGCCACCGCTCCGGGCGCTGCACCGCGCCGAAGGTAACAACCCGGCCCCGCGCGCCCCGGCGGCTGGGCGCGTCGCCACCACCTTCCCCGGCCTCCAAGTGTGTGACGGTATCTGGGAGGGGGACGGGGAGACACTTCGGCCCTGGCTCCATCCAGGCGCCCGGGGACTGGGAGGACGCGAGGTGGGGCACGTCTCGGGTTTCAGGCCAGGGATTGGCGACATGTGACATCATGTCATGTCATGTCATATCTGTGATTTGTCTGCCATGTTAGCTGAGGCTCCCTCTCCCAATTCGAGGAAGAGGCCACCTTTCCCCTCTGACCCAAACAGCTGCCCAGGTGTGGGGCAGCCAGCAGCAGCACAGTACGTAGGTGGATTGAAGCACAGGTGCCCCTGCCCATTAGGCCCCAGGTGCCTAGATTTCCTCCTGGATGCTGGTGGGGGTGACCCCTAGGTTCAGTGTTGTCAGGTATCAGATAGTTAGGCTTCAGTTTTGAAGAATGGCCTTCTCATTCACTCACTGGCTGTTTACAGTGAGCAATATAAAGCAAATAAGAAGAAGATTTATTACATTACCACACCCTGGGAAACATGCAAATAAGCGTGTAAATAAGTCCTGCTCTTATTTACTTTATATTGCACACCATAACACTCCAGTGAGTGAACGAGGACTGGGTCACGCACTTCTGCAGCAGCACCAGAAGGGGAAAGAGACCTCCAGTCCTTTTGCCCAGGTTGCCAAAAAAATCTTAATCTGCCTTTTGAGCTTTTCAAGCTGTTTGTTATTCTGCTGCCACATTTGACCTGTTTGGTTGTATGGGATTGTTGGATTGGCAAAGCAGAGTGAGTCCTGGTAGTTTAAGAGTGGGGGGGGTTGAAGGGAGGCCATTACTCCCAAATTTTAACAGGGGTTGGGAGTGAGACTGGTGGCCAATGAGACTATTCCAGTCACAGTTCAAAGACTTTATTAGGCTACACAACAGTAAAATCTTATTTGTTCTAATAAAGACAGTGCTTACATAGCCTTGGATTCGAGGGGAAAAAAGTCAACTGGTCAGGCTTCCTTGTTCCCTTGGGGACTTTCACTGATTTGCTTCCTCCTTTTTGCTGAACTTCGGAGAAGTCCAAGGCCGCATGGTTTAACCATGATTATATACTTAACATGGGGTTTTCCATACTTGGTTATGCTTTGTAGCTACACCAGTCCTTTTCCATTCCCTTGTATTATGTTAGTGCACCATATCACTGTCTGCAGTGTATGCTCAATTTATGTCATTGCCACAGACCAAGCTCAGGTCAGCTTATGACACAGCCTGTGTTACACACTGCCTGTGCTGCATGTATGGGCCTACAGGCCTGTCGGTACTGGTGGATTTGCAGGGTTGGATGTGCGGGCAGGACGTGCTCCAGCTGCTCGACAGCTTCACAGGAACAAGAAGTGGTTCCTTTAAACTGGGTTGGTCAACCTCCAGCTTGCAGGCCAAATGCGGCCTGTGGAGCATTGGAATCCCGTCTGTGAGACTCCTCCTGAATTGGGAAAGTTGGCAGTGGGGGAGCAGTAACAGTACTGCTATCCCTCCCTGCTGCCAAAATCCCAAGTCCTCCAGAGCAGGTCTGACTTGGGCCAGGACCCACCCACTGCATGGCTAGATCAGAGCCAGACCATGACCCTTTCCCTCCAGGCCATAGGGTTAGGGCCAAGCTGTGCCCATTTTTCCTGATGGGCCACATCCCCTTCCCTCATCCTCTGCGGGCCCAGGCCATGCCCTCTTCCCTCTGCCTGGTCAGGTTGGGGCTAGGCCTTGTCCCTAGCCTCCTGCAGGGTTGGACCATGCCCCCTCCCCTGTGTGGCTGGTTCAGGGCTGGGTCCTTTGCCTTCCCCACCCGTGGGACCATGCCATGCCCTTTTCTCTCTACCCAGTCAGGTTGGGGCGAGGCCATGTTCCCTGCCTCCTGTGGGCCTGGGCCACAGCCACTCCCCACCACAGGGCCAGCTTAGGGCTGGCCCAACCCCGCCTCCATTGCACTGCTGGATCAGGGCCAGGTTTTCCCCCTCTCCACTCCATGCTGCCAGATGGGGCCTCGCTGGATCTGGCCCATGGAGGGATTGGGCACCACCCATCCAGCCCCAAGAGGTCGAGTACCACTGCTTTAAATGGAGCAAACAGGATTTAGGATTGACCTTGCTCCTGTGAACACTAGGATGGGTGACCTTCACAGCCCCAAAGTAATTTGTAGTGACCTTCAAGTCATCTGATAGCCCCACCCAAAACACAACTGGCCCTTGAAAATAGTAGCAAGTAACACTACTCTAAGTGAATGCCAGAAACACCAGAATTCCAGAAGAAAGAGTGAATAATTAACAGGTAGGAATTACAGAGAGGATCAGTCGGGCAGTTCCAATGGTTTTATCAATTTACACACACACACACACATACCTCCCAATTAGGGCAGTAGAACCACTTTTTACTATTAAAAAAGTCTAAGCTAGCTGTTAATTAAAAAGATCATCAGTCAAACACCTGAACTGGCCTTGAGTTCATCAAGGAAAGAGCCAATTCAAGGAATAAGCAGCTAACATAACATTCAGATGATGTTTGACTGCTTGACAAAACGATGGTTGACAAGGAAACATATCTAAATGAGAGGCTGAAAAGGTTGGAGTTTACCTTTGCAAGAAGATAAATAAGAGGATAAGTCTATGAGATAATGGTCTAGGAAATGTAAATTTGGAGCTTCTGTTCTCTGGTTTTAGAACATAAGATTGAGGAGACATTTGATGATTTTTAAAGGTGGCAAATTCAGAACTGATAAAAGAGGTATTTTTTTCAAGCAGTGCATAACTAGACTGTAGAAATGGGTGCCCCAGGTTGTTATTGAGGCCAAGAATATAGCAAGATTCAAAAAGAGACTGGTTACATGCATATATAACAGAAACATCCTGATGATAACAATTTGGGAAGAGATACTAAACCTTGTACATAAGGGCTTAAGACAATCTCTGCTAGAGATCAGGATGAGACCTAATGTTGGACAGATTATGCCACATCTGCCTGCAAAGCATCTGGTACCAGCCACTGTCAAAAACAGGATTCTGACCTTAGAGGAACTTTGTGTCTCATTTGTTATGACAGTTCCTCTGTTCCAATTAATCTGGAAGTCTTGATGTTATGATTACTATATATTACCCATTTCTATCCAGTGGACGTCTCTCTAGGTCCCTCCACACTCTTTTCTAGATCCTAAGATTCTTATACATATGAGGTGCAAATGTGTGGCCTGTGTCCCTATTACAACAGTGGGTATTTTCACAGCCTTTTTAAACAGGATCTTTAGGGGGCTGTTCCCACTAAAGTTACTCTGTTCTTCCCCTATGAAAGGAAAGATTTTTTTTTCTAAAAGGGCTGCATGCTACAACCACCCAGGCAGGGAACAGAAAGTCTGTTTCCTTGACTACTTAATGCTGAAACACATCCCAGACACCCATAAGGCAGGTCTTTTGGGGCAGGAATGTTGTGTGTCACAGTTTTATATTGTGTGAAGGACTGGCAGAGTTGTACAACTCAAGTGAGGAAGATTAGTCAGGGGGAGGGAATTTTTTTAAAATAAAGACCACTGTTAGTTCTTTTTAGAATGTTTAAATTCAGAATACATATTTCCATTCGGTAAATTGTGACAGTCTGGCTTTTCTTCAAATTGCACTGATAGCGGTGACGAAGATATAAGAAAATTACCATATAGAGTGAACATAGGGAATACCTAAACTATTTGTAACATGAAACTGTTGAAAACCGTATCTGATTTATTTCAGAATCACAGCCAGTGTTCAAGAAACTAATGGACAGAACTGGTTGGTTTTGCTTTGGTGAAAATCAGAAAGCTAGAAATTCTGACTGTTAAAATCAGGTCTGTAAAAGGTGTTTTTGGAGCTCCAGATGGGAAGATCTCTGGTGTTTTCTCTTGCTGTCTTTATACAAGAGGAAGCCAATTGGAGGATGTTACAGTTTGTTGCTTTTGTAAACTGAGATGGGGCCAGACTTTTCCTCCCGTTATAACTAAGCCTGTTGCTCCTTGTTCTTTCTAGTTTTTGTGCTCCAGCTATAGCTTTCACTTCTTGCTGTGCTCAATGCTATTTCCTAGCCAGACCTCCATTTGCACTTAAAAATCTGAACAACGCACACGAACACACTACTACTACGCGCACACAGCTTGATGGCGTTTCTTGATCGCCACGAAATTCTCCCCTCTGTTGAAATGCCAACAGATTGCCATCCCCTCTCTGAAATGCTGCCATAGATCTGGGATTCGTGGGCTGGATCCTCCCCACAGGTCTAAGGCTGGTTCTCAACCTTGTTTGTACTAGGACCCATTTGTAAACATCAGTGGCCAGTCCCAACCCAGTGACCCTCACTCCCAACCGGCTGGCCCCAGACCCTGACTCCCCAGTGTCATAGATTCATAGATGTTAGGGTCGGAAGGGACCTCAATAGATCATCGAGTCCGACCCCCTGCATAGCAGGAAAGAGGGCTGGGTCTAGATGACCCCAGCTAGATACTCATCTAACCTCCTCTTGAAGACCCCCAGG